AAAGAACTTGTGTTCTTTTTGTCTGTTAGCATGTTTCAGTCAGTGTCTTTACCAGCATCCTTGTGACAACCATGTGGTGATAATTGTAACAAATGATAACTTCTGTTTTTTAATTATGTTTCAGGGTGATTATAATTCAGAAATTTACCTGATCACAAGAGAAAGAGATGAACTTCAGTGTATGCTTGAAAAATTTGAAAAATATATGGAGGATATACAGTCCAATGTTAAATTATTGACAGCAGAAAGAGATAAACTAAGTGTCTTATATAATGAAGTAAGAAATTTATTATAATTAAGCCAGTTAACTATAATGGAACCAGCATATATCCTTTAAATTACTGTACTATATGGACCTTGTGATGTTCCTTTATAATTAAAATTGTAAGTAGTAGTTTCTACTATCATCCTGTTCCCAGAGCAGAGATTTATCTTATTTTTTCGTATTTATTCTTCCTCTTCTCTAGCCTATCTGTCAGGTCACTTAGAGACAGTCTCCTTCTAAAACTACCTGGAACAGGTCTCAGGCTGACTCTGAGCCAAGTTTATCCTTGGGATTCAGACATGATGGGTAGCGCCCACTGTTTAAATACATTGGCTATTAAGGACTTAAGCTTCTAGTGAAAAAAACTCTAGGGAAGAGGGAATTGAATTGGTACAGCTTGGCCCCATTACAAAGCCTCAGTTATCAGAGGGCAAGGTGAGTTTGAGAAAAGCATGGCGTCTGTCAACGTAAATTTGTTCCCATATTTATCTCCCACGAAATCCTATTGCTACACTGAGAGAGGGAGAAGACATGAAAGTTAAAAGGGTTGAAAGAGTCATTGTCACTTTTTGAGCTTTTTTGGGTTTCAGTGAAAATTGATCCACTTCTGGGCTTTACCCACTGTTGGTTTAGATTTCAGCTTTCTTGGGTCTGCTTGGTTAATTCCTGCTTCTCTGTCTGCTGTCTACTTTCCAACATTTTGTGGCTGACACTTCCATTGATCACATTGTCTTTTTGGTTTCATTATTATTATTATTTTAATCCTTTCACTCTCATTTCATTGAGATTTGGGAAGAGATCGAAGGTAGCATGTCTTCAGTATGCCTTTTTTTAAGTATAAGCATAACCTAAGTGTTTTTTACTTTTATTTTTTAATTCCTTTAAGGC